GGTTCTAGGATTTTACCATCTTTGGTACTGGATGGGGTCGCACTGCCCCAAACAGACCCTGGGCGCAATCTGGGGGTCCTCCTGAACTCACGACTTCTGCTCAAACAGCAGGTGGCAGTCGTGGCTAGGAGGGCCTTTCCATGACTTTGTATTGCCCTGGTCACCTCCCAGTTAGAATACTGCAATGTGGTCTACATGGGGCTGCCCTTGAAGTGTATCCAGCAATTTCAGCTGGTGCAAAATGCAGTTGCACAAGCAGTTATGTGTGTTTCTAGTAGAACACACATTACACCTCAGCTTCACGAGCTGCATTGGTTACCAGTTTGTTTCCGGGTGCAATTCAAGATGCTGGTATTGACCTTTAAAGCCCTTCAGGGCATGGGGCAGGGCTATCTGAGGGACTGCCTCTCCCCAATTTCATCTGCCCGTTCTACCAGATCCAGCAGAGAGGGCATGTTACAGGTTCCGTCACCTAGGGAGCTACATTTGGCAGGCCTCAGGTGGTGGACATTTTCTGCTGTGGCACCTGCACTGTGGAATCTCCTCCCCCCTGAGGTGAGGTTGGCCTCATCATTGTTGAGCTTCCAGAGGTCCCTTAAAACTTGGTTATGCCAGCAGGCCTGGGAACCCCAGGGGAATTAGTGAGGTAGCTCCCTTATTTTTAACGACCTTTTATTCTGTTTTATTTTGCTTTTTATCTTTTTAATTTATTTATTGATTGTTTTTAGCTTTGTTGTACGCCGCCCAGAGTCGCCTGTGGTGAGATAGGCGGCTATATAAATTGATTAAATACATACATACATACTGTTTGCATTGATAATAAGACTGCTCAAATTTAAATCTACCTGAGTTTACTTTTTTTAGCGAACTGATATTTTTCTAAGTAAAAAATTACCTTTAGTCCATTCTGTGGGTTCATCAGAAAATTTCGACCAATGTCATCAAACATAATAGTATTTTTCTTGCTGTAAAACTCTGAAAATTTGCCCCATATAACTCCTAGAGGTTTCACCTATAGAAGCAAAGTTAGGAGAAAACCAAATAAAGAGCAGAGTTAAACAATTTTAGGAATCTAAGGCTGCAATCCTCTACTCAACTATCTTGGAATAAATCTCACTGAATTCATTGGAATTTGTTCCCAAATAGGCCAAGACAGGCACAGTTCTTATTCGCATTTCACAAAGACTCAAGACCAAGAAAATAATTGGCTAGATTTCACCTTTGGGTTTTTAAAGGAGCACGTCTCCCATTTCTTTTGTGGAAGACCAAAGCTATCTGTTAGAGGGCAAAATGATGTCAAACTGGCAATGTATGCCTGATGATATCATTACATAAATAAAACAATTACATACTTACATCATGATATCTGACACAAGACATACATTGCATTTGTACACGTCATCATTTCCCTCCTACTGTGGACACCCTGGGGACCTGAAGTTTGTTTCCAGTCCCATGTTTACTTTCTATGCATAATTGTGTTACAAAATGAGAAAATAATGTTACTCACTTATTACAGAAAATTACAAAAGCTTGCAAGCGTTATCATCATCATTTCACTTTTTGCAAAGCAATCTGAAAAAGTGAAGTATATGACAACAAGATCTCCAACTCAGTAATCCATCACAGCATTAAGTTGGGAAATATCTGAGAAATAACTGCAGCTTGTCTCACTTGTTTAAGTTGTTCAAGCACTCCCTGTGTACCACCTTCCTGTAAGGTGTATGCTACTTTCAGATGCCTCAAGCAAGCAAGCCAAATTGCACAGTTCTTACAGCTGTACATTTGGACTGCGTTCTTCGATCATCTAAAACTATTGCTCCTTAGGTTATCTTACTGTGGAGATCCTACTGTGGAGATCCTAGTATCTGGGCTGCATACCCTAATCCCTTGGGATTGCATACAACAATCTTTCAGACATTCTCTGATGATGGGAGAGGTTGCATTGGGAATCACTGGGTCTCTAATCCACATTTTATAAAATAAATAAATAGACTAAACAGATAAATAGACTTCTAAAAATTCAGAAAAAAAAATCCCTTCTAAAAGGAAAAAAAATTGCTCATACATCGATTAAACCTCGCCTTGGAGTGTGCACAGTTATCATGGCAGCACTATCCAACATGAAGGTTATCTTGTAGTTTGCATTGGTGCTCACTCCCAGCTCCTGCAGTGCAAAAAGAACAGTGATTGAAATTTTGTGCACTAGCTACCTCTCTGCTGTAATTTACAAACCAGAAACAATTTGCTTGTCATATAAGAGAGATGAAAAGGACCAGCTAAAACATGTTAAAATAGATGCCTACTCCTCTCTCCAAGGACACTATGAAGGAACAGAAGATGCTTCCAATCTGTTACAAACCAACACAGCCAGCAACTGTAAACACAATTTTTTCATCCATGGAAATCAAGAAGTTCTCCTGACAAGAAGAGATGGAGCAGAGAAGACAGGCCAAACTGTGGCATTGCAATCAATGAAAGCAACAGAACTGGCTGTTTTGCTAGGTCATCACAATTAACAGAGGACATTCCTCTTTTTATTTTTATTTTCCAGGTCATTTAATATTGCAGGCACATTTGGAATGCATCAGAAATGTCAAAAGCTTACTCTACAACAGGGCACTCAAGTGTTCCAAGAAGCAGGTGCTTGACAGACAAATTGGCTTTTTTTTTTTTTAAATCAACATGATTGAGCAGCTTGGCATATTTTTTGTTTAACCGACTGCTTCCAAGAGAAAATGCAGCTCTTTCCATACAAATAGAGCAGCTTCATTTTTGCACCCAGTTGGAATGAGTGTTATTGTGAAGTTATGGACTGGGTTTTGTTACTGAGAAATGCTTGAAAATGTGCTTAGATTCAGGAACAGGAGGTCAAAACACCTAGCAGTCCTTTGGGCTTGGTTACATATGTAAAAGTGCTACACAAGAGGATAAACCAGTTTTGTCCAAACTTGGCCACTTTAAGATGAGTGGACTTCAACTCCCAGAATTCTCCCAGCAATTCTGGGAGTTGAAGTCCACTCATCTTAAACTGGCCCAAGTTTGGACAACACTGGGCTAAACTGTGCTCAGTGCATTGAAGAGCTTAGAGCTAAGAATGCTCAACAATGTTCTGTATAAGTTCAAATCTTATAAACAAGTTTACCAACCAAGTATTACACAAAATTGTGATGGTTTTAAAGCGGGATCAATTGCTTAATGGTAGCTTTTGATTCTTCTGTGACTATTATTATCACCTAAATTATAATGGACCAATAATCTAATTTAAGTAAAATACCTTCCTATGTTCCTGATTGGATTATACATTCACAAATTGAAATTGTTAAGATTAAAAATAGCACACATTTTCCATCATGGGTACATGCATGCATCCTAGCACAACTAGTGAAAGTGACTAAGATGTTTCAAATAATACAAAGTGCCCACATTTTTACTGGCAGTGTGTAAAGCTGGTCTTACAGCCTATATACAGAACTTCCAATCCAATCCCAGAGCTGTACATTGTGGTCGGTCAACTGTTTCACAGCTGTATTATTCCTGTAGTTCCAACAGGCTGCAGGAATAGAAATAGGATTATGCTTCTTACATATAGTCTGTGAGGCACTGGGTAAGTGACAAGCTGGAGTGATCTAGCATGGCTTTCACTGAATTAGGAACTCTGGAAAATTATGTGGTGGATTATATGAAGGCCTGCCAGATCTATGATCTAAAATGATGAGTGAGAAGCCACCTAGGCTGAAAAGAGGGCAGAACAAAGAAAAGGACATTTTTGTTCTTATTTTCACCATTCTTCAGATCCATACATGGGAATGTTCCTTTAGGGACTACCTCTACATGCTAGGCTTAAGAGATCTAGTGGGAAATATCTGGTCCAGAAGAAAAATATGGGGTGATTTCAGGATCTGGTGGTGGGTAGTTACTAGATCCCTATAGATTTGCTTAACTCAGGATCTATTGCTATTGCTATTTTGGCAACGTCTTTCACTTTAACCGTAGGCCAATATATGAGAGGCAAATCGCTACTAATCACTACTAGGGAATAAATGAGAAGCCACAATTCCATGAACTCTCTTAAGAAATGTTCCCCAATGACTTGGATTCAGAACTGAACTCCTCAGAAAGGAGAAGTTCCTTTTTATTCAGGGACATACTCTGACTGAACTGAGGCTCCTACAGTTAAAAAGAGGGTTGATTTTTGTCAATTTCTTTGCTGCTCTACAGCTTCCACATGGAAGCTAAAGCTTCCATATGGTTCCAGCAACAAGGATATTTCTAAGGCACAAAGGAGAATTGGTGAAAAATCAGCTCCTCATCCATTTATTTGCAGGAGCTTCCCATGTGCAGAATTAATTTCTACTTTATTCGTGGAAACTTAAGGATCCAAGCCAATGGATTTACTTACAGTCAGGTCCAGAAATATTGGGACATCGACACAATTCTAACATCTTTGGCTCTATACACCACC